CTTAAGTAGGCAAAGTGAATATCCAGATGTCCTATTTTTTTTTTAATTACAGAGACAAAAGAGTCATCATCAAATCCAATCAACAAATTGAGCTCTTTCTCATGCAAAAGACTTGGTTTAGGGGGTATTTATTATGTATTGTTTTGAGCTATGAACCAACTTTCAGTCACCATTGTTAGGAATAACAGTTCTGCAGGGTCATAATAATTCTTGCTTCTTATCAGCCTCTCCCAGGTGAAAAATCAAAACACTTCTTCCCCATAGTAGTTCCAATAATTTAGGAACATAAGTGTAGCAGCCTGTGGTCTGTGCACTGCATAAAAGTGTCTGCTAAGGGAACCATAGAGGCCAGTTTACACTTGACTTTCTAACACTAGTGTATTGGAATGAGGTTACAAATGCTGAGAAAAGACTTTTTTCTTAGCATAAAAGGTACCACCCCTTATTAACTCTTATACCCTTGGAGGTCAGAATGCCCAGAAAGGGGGCTGTTACCTAATGTACATAGTTGCCTTTTGGGATAGAAGTAATCTTAATGGAGAGTTACTTAGAACAATAGTATGTGATGGTGGGAAGAACCTCTACCTTGAAGAGACCATTTCTGTTGATATCCCTCTAGATGCTGACTCGTAAGTCATAGAATGTCCTTCAAATGTATTATGTTCCTTTTTTTGTTTGTTTCTGGGCCACACCCATCAGTGCTTGACCTACTCATAGTTTAATGTTCAGGGAACTGTAAATGCCAGGGATCAAACCTGGGCCACCCATATGCAAACTCCAGCCCTCCAAATGCTCTAGATTTTTCTATCTTCTAACACTCCAAATGTATAAATTTTTTTTTATAATTTATTTCTTTATTGAGGGCTGGAGCGATAGATAGCACAGCGGGTAGGGCGTTCGCCTTACAAGCGGCCAACATGGCCGACCCAAGTTCAATTCTTCCGCCCCTCTCGGAGAGTCCAGCAAGCAGACACAGTAACAACAAAGTCTCCAATGGAGACGTTACTGGGCCCGCTAGAGCAAATCGACGATCAACGGGAGGGCCTTTACCTTTACCTTTACCTTTATTGAATCACTGTGGGAAAAGTTACAGAGCTTTCGGGTTTAGGTCTCAGTCATGTAGATACCAAACACATTTCCCTTTACCAATACTCATTTTTAACCCCGAACCCCAATAGAACCCCACCTTCCACCCCTCCCAATTCCTGTGAGGCAGATAAGTTCTAGTTAATACTCTATCTACTTTGACTAGATACATTGTTTCGATAGAAGATGCACCATTATTGTTTAGAGTTTACGACCCCCCCACCCCCCAATCAGACATGCTGAAACAGCGTTGTGAAATGATTTGCTTTCTACAGCTGGGTTTAAGAATAAAATGATGTTGCGCGGCCGCAATAAGGGGGGCGTTCTGGGCCGTCCTTCACGCCCGACCGAGGTCACCAGCTGCCCCCCACGAGCGGCTCTCCGGCACAGCCCCGGAAGCACAAGGACTTAGCACAGAAAACCACCCACTTGGAGCAGAAAAGCAAATGGACTATGTGTTAAACCATGCCAGCATGCCTGCCCGGAGGGGAAAGGGTGTTGACCCACTCGCCCTGGCCTCTCTGGAAAGAAAGATGGCGGCCGCATGGGAGCCTTGTGGACAGCAGATTTGAGCCGGAGGTGGGGGCGGCAGGGACCTCATGGGAAGGGGGGCGTTCTGGGCCGTCCTTCACGCCCGACCGAGGTCACCAGCTGCCCCCCACGAGCGGCTCTCCGGCACGGCCACGACTCCAGAGCACAGAAACCAATCTCTTAACTACCTAACTTTTAATAGAAATACTTCCAGGGTTAATAAGTAAAATAGCAGAAATGTATAAAATTTTTAAAAAATTATCTACCGTGGGGCTGGAGAGATAGCACAGCGGGTAGGGTGTTTGCCTTGCATGCGGCCGACCCGGGTTCGATTCCCAGCATCCCATATGGTCCCCTGAGCACCGCCAGGAGTAACTCCTGAGTGCAGAGCCAGGAGGAAACCCTGTGCATCGCCGGGTGTGACCCCCCCCCCAAAAAAAAATGTATCTACCGAGACTGTCTTCATCTGTACAAATTCTGAGTGTTAAGAATTTCAGTGCCACATGAGAAAATGCTCTACATCATTAATCATCAGGGAGATGCAGATCAAAACCACAATGAGATACCATCTCACACCTCAGAGACTGGCCCACATCCAAAAGAACAAAAGCAACAAGTGCTGGCGCGGATGTGACGAGAAAGGGACACTCCTTCACTGCTGGTGGGAATGCCGACTGGTTCAGCCCTTTTGGAAAACAGTATGGACCATTCTCAAAAAATTAGAAATTGAGCTCCCATTTGACCCAGCAATACCACTCCTGGGAATATATCCCAGAGAGGCAAAAATGTATAATCGAAGTGACATCTGCACTTGTTTGTTCATTGCAGCACTATTTACAATAGCCAGGATCTGGAAAAAACTTGAGTGTCCAAGAACAGATGACTGGTTACAGAAACTTTGATACATCTACACAATGGAGTACTATGTAGCTGTTAGAAAAGATGAAGTCATGAAATATACATACAAGTGGTACTACATGGAAAGTATCATGCTAAGTGAAATGAGTCAGAGAGAGTGGGATAGACATAAAAAGATTGCATTCATCTGGGGGACATAAAGTAACAAAATAGGAGATTAATACCCAAGAATAGCCGAGATCAGTACCAGGAGGATTACTCCATGGCTTAGAGGACAGCCGGGCATTGTAGGGGAAAGGGCAGCTCAGATAGAGAAGGGAGCACCAAATAAAGGGTGTTTGGAGAATCCTCCCAGGAGGGGAGATGCATGTTGAAAGTAGACTATGGACTGAAAATGATTGCAACTCAATGCCTCTTTTGCAGACCACAACACCCAAAAGGAGAGAGAGAACAAAGGGGAATGCCCTGCCACAGAAACAGGGTGGGATGGGGGTGGGGGGATGGGGGTGGGAGAGATACTGGGATCCATGGTGGTGGAAAATGGGCACTGGTGGAGGGATGGGTATTTGGTCATTGTATAATCAAAACCCAAGCACAAAAATTTGTAAATCTACAACTGTACCTCATGGTGTTTCACTAATAAAAATTAGTAAATAAAAAAAAAAGAATTTAAGTGCCAAATACAAAATCCATTGAATCTTTTGTGGTCTGGCTGCTTTGCAGAACTTGGTATGAGATTTTACCATATCTGACAGAAGTAGCATTTCTTTTATATTTAAGTAACATTTATAGGTAACATAAGTTTACATGTTTAAGGGATACAGTTTCAGCCCACTTCATATGTCAATCACATTGACCACCAAAGTACTCTCTCCACCACACAGCATTGTGTTCTTCCCCTCTTGCATAGGAGTTGTTTTCTTTGAATGATGTTGTTATTTTTTGTTTTTTTCTGGTCCTTTCTCCCTCATAATTCATTTGTGTTTTCTGTTCCTGAGGTAGATTAGTTTTATAAGCTGGCTGCATGCCACTTGGCTACTTGCACTCTCCTCCTTGATTTAAATGAAGCCTCTCTTTGCTACTATAACTGATTTCACATTGTCTTTACACTTCACTTTATATGACATCTATTTAACATGCATGCTCATGAGGGACTAAAGCATGTCTGAATCTATCCTTTAGAAATCTGGTGAAAAGTTATTATTCAAATATTCAATTAAAGTCATTTGGTGTCCGGAAAGCAATGCAAGCTTATCCCATAGAGAAGATGATAGCTCATATAATTTATAGAAATATGACTTTTTCAGACTTAAATAAAATGGAAAGAAATATGGAAAACACCATGTTTCTTAAAATGATGCTCAGGAAATGTAGCTGAATTTTATATTCACTCTGGAGTTTGCAACAGATGTTGCTTGTATAATAAACTTACACAGTGAATGTGCCATTGTGGTAGAGGAAGCTTTAAATCAGATTTAAGCCTTGTTATGCCTGGATAACTGTGCTAATATTTTCAGTCAGTATCTAGTACAGCTGCTAAAACATTTTGACTCACAGGCCAAAAGGACTTTAAAGTTCATGAGTTCTTGTTCTAATTGGAATTTTGTATCAGTCTCTCTTTTTTCTCCATGACTTCATGCTTAAATAGTTTTCATGCCTAAACTCGTGTATGTTTTAAATTAAAATATTTTAAGAAATTTACTTAGAGAAATGTGAGAGGTGGGGGAGAGGTATTCAAAGGCTCCTCTAAAACTGAGAGTATACACAACTGTTGAAGTACAGGCCAGTCTTCAGGGTGGAGAATTCACCCCACATGTCTTTACAAAGTTGGTTTTATAGAAGATCTTCCAAATTGCCTCTGCTTGCAGTTTTCTGCATATAGAAAAATTGACCTGAATATTATCATAGGTGTTAGTGTGGGGAACCTTGGACTCCTGATAAGCTTTCCTACTCTTATTTCTTTTGAAGCTTGTTTTACTGAGGGGGGCCCACCCTTCTCCTGGTGATGCCTCAATTTCTGCATCTGGGTAGAGGCTCACTTTCTTCATCTCAAAAGGGGTTAGCATTTGCTTCTCAAATCATGCTTGTTTTATAAACTAGTTTCATCATTACCTTTTTATAAACTTTTATTATAGTGGTATATCCCTTTCCCTAATGTAACAGGTAAGATTTGTCTCATTCTTCTCAATTCTATCAATTACTGCATATTTGATTTTTCTTTTATGCAAGGCTTAGGTAGTATAACTCAAATTCATGATAAATGTTAACTGATTCCCAAAATTCCATGTACTTACACATTTGTTTGATAACAATTTGACTTTTTACTAAAGCCACATGTCCTTTCTTAGATCACTTCAGCACTACAGAGAAGCTATATTTTTATCCTGACAAGTCTGACATCTGAAGTGAAAGAAATTCTATAAAACTGCTAAAAAAAAAAGGACTCTTTAGGAAACAGGGCTCAAATAATCAATGGGCTACATTGTAACATACACACGCAAATAAATTAATAAAATGATAAAATATAAAGTTAGTCTATTTTATTAAAGTTTGGTTAAGTGACAAAAATATATGCAATGATAAGTACCATTGGTTCTCTTCCATTCTAATACCAATCAATTGTATACAGGTATTTAAAACAAATTTAATACTGTAAACCTGAGAACAAATAATATCTAGATAAATTCATCAATTCAGAAACAAAATAGAATAATTTTAAAATTCTGTTTTTATAAATATAAACTAGGTTAACAGTTAATACTTCTGAATAATATTACAAATTAGTCAAAATAAAAAATGTTTGGTAAGATTTATTATGCTTATTTTACAAGTCATGTTTGTAAGGAAAAATTGACACAATTGCTTCAATTACTGTCATATAGCAACAATTTCTGAGAATCAAAGTATTCATTGATTACTTTTTCCTTTATAATGCATATTAACATCTAGCACGATAATACCACAACCCCCCCCCCCACATTCACCAATATTCCAATATTTTTTCATAATCAAAATACATTACTAGTTGGCACACTAATTTTGGGAGGAGAGGGGCAACTCTCAGCAGTGCTCAGAGATTATTTCTGATTCTGCACTCAGGGGAAACTCCTGGCAGTGTTTAGGGGAACATATTAAGTTCTGGGGATCAGACCAGAGTCCATTGCCTTTAAGGCACATGCTTTAACCTCTGTACTATCTCTCCCACCACATGGTACATTCATTTTAATGGCAGCAATGTGAATATTTTATCCAAAAATAAAAGGCTTGTTTTGATGTGCTTTTTAATCACAAAACATTCAGTAGTAAGCATTCAATTCATAAACTACTTTTATTATTCAGTAAATATTATCATGGTAAATTGGACATAATGATGAAAATGTTTTTTTTCCCTACTTCACTAAAAACACTTTTTACCCTTAGATTGTATAATCCATGTAAAAGGTCCAGTAACTCTTCTACAAACATGGCAACCATTTCACCAGTATAATAAATCAGTAAATAAACTTGATTGCCTTGGTTGGTTGGGTGTCTTTATTAAGCCTAACTTCAAACTTAACAAATTTCTAAATAATATGTCCAAATCAAACACCTTATACCATCCACACTAGCTAACCATACATGGGTCATCATTGTTAGGTTTGACTTCTCCTTCCAGCAGCAAATTCATCACAACTTTTGTCAAATAGCTGCATGTTCCTCTTTTTCCCAGTGGGGGAGTGTTGTAAAATGAAGTCATGTCATCCTAAAAAGGAAAACAGTAAGCAAGTCTTTTCATTTTTTGTTTGCAGTTGACAGGGAAAATCAGTGTCAGCCTAGGGGGCAAAATTAGTACACAGAAAGATTTCCTCTTGGAAAATATGAGCTTCTTGAGCTTTTTTAATTTTCCTGAGGCATCTTCTCAGCATATAAAACAAAGAAAGACACTTTTAGTATTCTATTCTTTGCTGATGATTTTTATTTACTTAGGGAACCTTTTTATAGACGAGTATAAAATATTGAACAAAGCCTGGAAGGGGCTGTTTTAAGGAAGTACATAGTACCAATGTAGTCTGTTAGATATTCCCATCCTCCCTAGAATTAAATTTTATAGCCTTCTAGAATCTATGACTCTATTCTGGTAAAACACATTTCAACTGCTAACTATACAAAGGTAATTTATCTCTTCCTAGATTTCTTTTTAGTCAGAACTTCAAAAGCTTAATTGACTAGTAATTGACTAAAAGGAAACATTAGCTCTTCAAATAAGTCATACTGTCCCCTGAACCTCAGGCACTCTTTTTATACTCAGGATCTATTTAAAATATTGAGAATATAGTGAAGAATTGAGACAATGAAAAAAATTTTACAAAAAGCTCTTTTCCCTACTTACTTGTTTTTCAACTTCCTTTAGTTGACTCTCATCTTTTTGAAATTCATGAAATGCTTCTTTCACCAGTTTGTCTAGATCCACTTTGTCTTGAAATTCTAGTTCAGGGTTTCTCTCAAGCACAATGGATACAACCATCAGCAACTATATGAGACAGATGTTGCAAGTAAATTATATAAACCACAAACTTTTTCATTCTTTAATCAGATTGATGATGACCCTCATATTCCACAATGTGTTCTAGATAATAACAGGTTTAAGGAATACTTATGGATGGACGTCCTCCTAATCTTACAAATTAGTAGCTTAAACCCTGTTTGGATACTCTGCAGTTTATTTTTTATTGTGCATATCCTATGACTATAAAGAAATGTTTGTTTACTTAAATAAAATGAGTAATGATAAAAATTACATTCTTGATACTGTACACAATACACAGTGTCCTATTCATTCAAAGTGTCTGAACTCTTTTTAGCTTTAGGGCACCAATGTAGATGACAAAGTCAAAGGCTACAGGTGAGTTTAGTGGAGACTCTAGATCTAGACTTATGATTAAATGACTTTGGAGCTCAGCATCCCAAAATGAGTAGAATTATATGACAACACAGTAGCTTCTCAGGAAATGGATATGTTTTTAAAAATAAACTTTTATCTGATCTCTTTAAGACAAGACTCAATTTGATCTGTATAAATTGCACAGTTCAATGAATCACCCTTCCCAGGATGATGTGTTATCCCCTATGTTAATCCTTAGCAGCAATGTTCATTGTAGATGGCAAACATATATACAAAGGATGTGTCTAGGTTATTAACTGTTAGCTGAAGACTTTCTGATGATGGTTGGTTATAGCTTCTACTATCTTGCACATGGAAGAGAAATAAACCTCATAATTTCCAATTTTGGCATCTTATTAACTGTAATTTATTGAAATGCTTCTAAAACAGAACCTCAAATAACCAAAGGAAAAACTCAATACAAGATTGATGACTGGAGAGATTTTTGTTGTAGGGTTTTTGTTGGGAGAATATTAAGCTACACTTCTAGTCCTTTGCTTCTTCAAAGGCAATGAACTCATTTTGGTCAACAAGAAAGATCTCTATACTTATTCTATTTCTCACATACGGGATACTAGACATGGAAAAGCTAACACAAAATAGCACTCATGCTTCTAATGCATTCCTACATCAACTTCAGTCTCTTCCCTACATGCTATGAAACTGATGTGGCACTGTTTCCAAAACATGGAACATCTAAGAAAATGCTAAATCTTACTCATCTCTGAATATAGTTTCAAATATTTTGGATTTTTAGGTGATGCCACATTCAGCTCAGCATCACACTTGCATGACTATTTTTATTTACTATTGACCCTTAAGAAATATAATGATAAAATGAAAGAGCCATTCCCAAAGAGAGAAAGTGAAGAGGAGCTTTAGAGAAAATACATCATTTACAGAATTTTCAGTTATATTTTTTGTTTTAAATTGCAAAAAATAAAAAGCATGCATATGTTTTGGAATTTAGTTTTCTGGAGAACAATGATGGAAGGGCACAAAAATTAAATGTCTTCCTTATTCACAGATGTTTTGGAAGATGTTTCTCAAATATTACAGTAATGATTTCTTGCTAGTGAATATAGAAATTTTGGGGATGACTTTGAACTAATAAAGCTCTCTAAAATTGTCATAAAGAAGCTCACAACAGGGGATGGAGCAATAGCACAGTGGGTAGGGCGTTTGCCTTTCACATGGCTGATCTGGGTTCGATTCCCAGCATCCCATATGATTCCCTGAGTACTGCCAGGAGAAATTCCTGAGTACATGAGCCAGGAGTAACCCCTGTGCATCGCCGGGTATGACCCGAAATGCAAAAACAAAACAAAACAAAAAAAAAACAACAGAAAAAAACCTCACAACAAGAAAGTTTTTAAATGTGACTTCACCCTGTTTATGTGCTGCATTTCATGTGCTTGAAACTTGGACCGAGAATGGCCAAAGTAAACTCATTCTCCTAAACTCATCTGGAAGAGACATGGTTTAGGTGAGGAATGAAACACCTGTACTTTCCCTTATACTAGTTTTCAAAAAGCAGATAGGAAACACTTTTCATAAGTCTACATTTCTTAATACAAACCTCCACAATGATCTGTCGGTACTTTGGCTGGTCAATATTTCCTAACATATCCTCCACCAGGAGAGAGAAATTCATCTCGTACATGGTCATATCTGACAGGGTTGGTTGCTGAAAAATATAATTCAACTTTAACATGCTTCATTGTTACTCTAGTTGTAAGTTAACAGAGGAATTTCATTTTCTAATCAATAATCTTTTTCAGCTTCTATAAAACCTTAGAGAGATCTTTTCAGTTTTACAACTGAATTTTATTTATGTCAAGTGACTGAAGTCAACTGTCTGACTGTTGTGATAAATTAAAACCTTCTGTTTTTAGTAGTTATCTTCACTATACTATGTTTTTAGACGAAAGGGAAGACAATAGGAAGTCACTTGAATATACAAAGGGAATAGCCCAAATGAGACATCAAATAGAATATTGCTTTCAGAATTAACACAGAAAAGTTATGTTTTCTGTCAGACTTTAGCATGTAAGTTACTTGCTATTAAATTTATATCAGTTTTTAGTGACGGGTTCTGAGTTAGCAGCATAAAGGCATGCAAATAAGCAAAAACAATGTTATGTTAAAAATGGCAAGCAAACAGAAAAAACTAACCTAAAAAAGTTTCTCTTTTCTGCCTTTCTATTTCATTTAAAACAAGTTTATCAAATAGTCTTCTATTCACTTTTCACAAATCAAATTAAAGTATAAAATAAACTCAAATCTAAATCTGGACTTGGTCAATAACCTCCAAAGAATGGAATGAAAGGTTTTAATATTAGGTTTGTGTGGTACGAAGAAGATGAAGTCACCAAAATTATTATCAGAGCGGCAGGGATTATGAGTCATATTTATTTGCTTTTACCTCAGCAATGATTTTCAGTGAATTTAATGATAGTCTCAGAACAATGTGTTCTGTTAACTACTCAAAATGGAAACCAGGCAGAATGGTGCTTTTCAACCAAGTGATGGCACAGTTACTCTGCTTGAGATAATAAGTCAATATATTCAATATAGTCATCTGTTATTTTCTATATTTAATATAATTTATGTTATTTTTAATTAGGTAGCACTAAATTTGGGAAAAATGAAGCCTGGTTGCTAAATGCAGTAATTATGATTGCTTAGAAAAAAATCCACATTTGATGGGATGTAAAGTAGAAGGTAACCAATCTCAATTAAAACATATATGTATATACACATATACATATATATATACATGTATATACACATATACATGTATATATATATACACATATATACTAACACACAAAGCTAAACCTTTAACAACATGTTAGTAATCTCTTATACAAGGACTTCATGGCTCCAGTGTTAGATACAACAATCTTCACACATTTTCCTTTAAGGAAACTTTTTTGGATCATTTTTAGCAGATTATTCACAAGCAATACAAAATAAATTATTTAGTTCCTGCTTTGGGGGAAGGCTTTGGTTGTCAGGGTAGAAAAATTCTAAATATGGTGGTGGGAAAGTGTAATGGCGGTAGGATTGGTGTTGGAATATTGAACGCAATAAATTATTGTGAACAACTATAAAAATAAAATACAAATTTTTAAAAAGAAAAAGAAAAAAGAAAGAACAATGGTGCTACAGAAAAAAGGAAGAATTTTTATGGTTTCACATCAGTTTACTTTTCATTTGAAAAACTAACTCAGTTACTATACCACTGTGATAATTAAATCTAGAGAAAAGGTGTAAGTCTTGCCTTACTTGCTTCTCTGTAAAAAGGTAAGCACTACAGAAGAAAAATTAGTAGACGAAGTTTATAATTCAAATTGCCAGGGAATTCACACTCTGGGTAGCTTCTTTCTAGATGATAAACTTTGGGAAAATCACCTAGCTGTGCTTCAGTATCCTCAACTGTCCAGTGGGAATAGCAAGGTACTTTATATGAGGCTTAACGGAGCACTTATAAAAAGTCCCTGGCATATAAAAATACTGTCTGTATAATGCATTTATTGATGATGTTAGTAAAGAAAGGATCCTAAGGTTAGGCATTGAGTAAAACAGTAAATGCCTTAGACAATAATACTAATGAAAATCTACCAAGTATTAATGTTAGGGGTCTGAGAATGATGGTCTCAAAGGGGTGCCACAGTTCACTGTGTGCAGACACAAGGCCTAGCAAAAGCAGGACGTAAACATGTGAGGCCAATTATCTGCTCAAAGAAGACTTCCTATTCCATAGTAAGATTTACAGAGCAACTGGGAAAGGCCTAGAGTGGCATGCTGTTGAATAAATGCAGGCATTAAAGCAGTTTGTGAATAGTATAAAGAAAATGATTTAAAGGTTTCTGTCTCATACTTCGCCCTGGAGATTGGCATGCATCACAGTCTGAGACATGTACTCTTGGCGTTTTCCCCTCTGAAAAAGCCTGTGTTCTCTCTGTTCTCTCTGTTATCTCTGTCTCTGTCTCTCTCTCTCTCTCTCTCTCTCTCTCTCTCTCTCACTTCACTGAAAATAAATTTTCTGTTTATTTTTCTACAGTATGTTACATAATCAAAATTTGAAAGCTAAGAGAATTTTCAGTGAAGCTCACTTTCTCTTCACCCCCGAACATAGTCCTTTTCCCAAAGTTGAAGAGATGCATTTCTGTGGTCCTACTAGAAATTCTCTATAAAAGCAAAATGGAGGTGGAAATGTATATTTATGAATACCTTTCTTGTACAAATATCTTTATAAATGATAATTTGCTTGATGTTTAAACATAGAAAACAAACACAGTACTTCATTTCTAAAAGGTCTAATTTACTTTGTAAATAAGCAGAGTCACTTAGATGTTAAAATTTAATAAATTAATAAAATCAAAGAGGCAGTCCAGTTTATATAACTTGGAAAATCATCAGAAGGAAGGGACATTAACCTATTTGGACCAACAGTAAGTGACATCTAGAGTAAAAAAAAATGGTTGTCTAATAACATATCACTGTATCACTGTCATCCTATTGTTCATCAATTTGCTCGAGCAGGTGCCAGTAACGTCTCCATTCGTCCCAACCCTGAGATGTTAGCAGCTTCTCCTTACTCCTCCTTGCCAACGGTGCCTTATTGAGGAACTTTCAGGATCAGGGGAATGAGACCCATTATTGTTATTGTTTTTGGCATATCGAATATGCCACGGGGAGCTTGCCAGGCTCTGCCATACGGGCAGGATACTCTCAGGTAGCTTGCCGGGTGCTTGGAGAGGGAAGAATTTAATATAGCAAGTTATTGTTGTTTTATTTATTTTATTTTTTTGCTTTTTGGGTCACACCTGGTGATGCAGAGGGGTTACTCCTGGTTCTGCACTCAGGAATTATTCCTGGCGGTGCTTGGGGTACCATGGGATGCTGGGAATTAGACCCGGGCCAGCTGTGTGCAAGGCAAATGCCCTACTTGCTGAGCTATCACTCCAGCCCCCTGTTTTAATGTTAAGTATGAATCTTATACACATAGTTTATGTAGTTGAATCAGATCAGGTAAGATATATGTATAGGCTGTATATTTGTTTTACATGTGAATGTTTGCATTTAATACATAAGATTTAAACTACCAGAAACAGATGAATCTCTGAAGTATAGAAAAATGCTTAGTTAAAGCTTCTGTTTGCTGTGTTTGAGCAAGAAAAAAAAAGATTAGCATGACTTACTATCACTCTTTGTTTTATTTGAATAGGTGAATGAAAATTTACATGTAATGTAACTCATAAGTAGTAATTTCCTTACCTACAGAGTTAAGTCACCTTGATTCTTAGACCTGATTCGGTTCTCTCCTTTTATATATGTATGGTTTACAATCTGTGAGGTCTCCCAGAACAGATCTGCTATCATTTTATAGTGAGGAAATACCATTATTCACTGTAAAGTTCATGTAAGAACCCCTTAATTTGCTATAAGTTCTGCTTAACCAAAGTTTGGGTCATGCGGATCCTTTGAATACTAAGAGGCCATCATGTTTGGTCCTTAGTCTACTTTCAGCACACATCTCCCATCCCTCCAACCATCATTTACTTAGTGTTCCCTTCTCCATCCCAACTGTCTTTTCCCCCAGCACATGAGGCCAGCTTCCAAACCGTGTCGTGATCTTCCTGACCCTTATTTCCACTTTCCTTAGGTTTAGTCTTATATTATGCTAACAGTAGCTCTTATTGGGGAAAATATTTTTCAAATGCAAATGGCTAGAGTTATTTTCCAGCATCTCCTCTTTGAGAACAGAAAAAGTAGAAAGTTTATTAGCAATGCAGAGGGAAATAGAATTCTGTTTAAGTCCTATTCGAAGCAAACACTGTGATACAAACACTGTGGAATATACCTGTGGCAAATGTTTTCCAGCTACAATGATACCATTGGGTGTACGCTCCAGGATCTGCCACACTCGGTCATAGAACCCAGTGGGAGTTCTGTTTAAAGACCCATCAATCTGACGCCTATTCAGCCAACATCTGTAGAAGAAAGGAAAATCGCTCAGAGCTGAAAAACAAGCTTGCTCTGGTAGAAAACAGGATTTTCAATGTGGATTAATTGTTTCAATTGTGCAAACAACAAAAGCCAAATTCCATCAATGAGGCATCTTTATCATGTGCTACCGAGGTTACTAAATATTTCATTGTGAAAACAGCTTGCAGGAAAAAAGAGAACCCTGAATATTTTTAAAAGTTATTCTCTAGTAAGTTATAAGGTTGCTTTGTGATCCAATACCACTGCAAAACAGTTTCATTCAAGGAACACCAATTTTGAAAGAAATTATTTAGTTTTGTCACTTCTATATACCTCTCCCAGAAAGGAATCCAAAATTATTTGATGAACCAATATTCAACAAAGCATTACACAATTAGCAAAATTATTTTGAACCTAAGAATCAGGGAAATAGTACAGAATTTAAGCACTTGCTTTTCATAGGATAAACTTCTGAGTACCACTGAGTATGGTTCCTACAACAACTAGTAAAAATAACAAATTTATAAAATAAATCCCTAAAAACAGATAAAATTCAAATCAACACAAGATCACAACTTAAGACATTTTAACTAGATCTCTGCACTCTGTCCGTTTAATATGACACCTATGACACTATGCTGCATTTAGTTTTTATTTATATCAATTTTATTTATAGCAAAGTTATGATATTACTTTAAAATCTAGAGTATTCCATAGATTAAAGAAAAGGGTCCTCAATACCTTCCATTCTGTTGAGGCTGGAGAATATCCAACAGAAGCTGTTTTACTTCACTGGGTGACAACTGATATAAGTCTATGGCTGGCTGGTCTCCTGCACGGGTCTGTAGTTCATATTTCATAGCATGGATGATCCACCTGAAACAAAACAGAGGAAGTATGAATGAATAACCCCTCAAAATTCACCTTGTGTTTCTCATATAGCATGCCCTCAATAGCACTGATCCATTCAAAGTGGAATGAAAAAAGAACCATTTGAATTTCCTGCACCATTGATATAATTACTTCCATGAACATTATGTGACATGATCAGACTCTTAAAAATGAGGTATGCTCTTTCATGGTTAGACAGTAAAACATGAAAATAGGAAATTACTTAAGTTCTTACTAAATAACATCTGATAAATTTGTATAATAGTATACAATGCACAACAAGCATTGTGTACTATTATATTTAAAATATTATATATGTGAAAAGCAAGAGAAAGTAATTAATATTTTACAAAAGATTATTTTATAATTTTTTTACCAGAGAAAATGAAGCTTTTTAAAACCTCTTTTCAGCAGGTAGGGCATTTTCTAAGAGAACACAGAGAAGAATACAGGCATACAGCTAACTACAACTCATATACTTTTTTATTTTGGCTTTTTGGGTCACACCCGGCAATACACAGGGGTTACTCCTGGCTTTGCACTTTTGGTGGTGCTTGGGATGCTGGGGATCAAATCCGGGTTGGCCACATGCAAGGCAAACGCCCTACCCACTCACTATACTATTCCTTCAGCCCCCAACCGTATTCTTTAGAGCATACTTTAAATAATAGATAATAATCAGATAATAATTCAGAATAATCTAACAATATTTAAATTCTATTAAGTCTTTTATTTGAAAATATATTCTTTGATAGATATATAAATACTTTCTATTAATATTTTTTCACAAACCATTTAAATATTATTATTTGAACAAGCACTTTTTCCAATTATTTGATATACTGTTTGTAAGTCTTGTATTTTTCATGTGGTGAGGACTTATGTACTTTATAATGCCTAGAATGTTTAATCAACTTATGTGTAATTTTAAAATTTGAAATTCTTTAAGTAAGCATTTTTGTAGTTTCATCTCATTTCACTTAACTTCCTCATTTCTGACGAAGGCAAACCAGGAAATTTCAAGAAATAATATTGTACAAACCTGAACTCTACAGAACATTAGAAAAAGCTAAGAAATTAGTTTACACGGCAGAGTCCTTTCTTTTATCCTTATATTCTTCACTGACGGGCTAGAGTGATAGCACAGCGGTAGGGCATTTGCTTGCACGCAGCCAACATGGCCAACCCGAGTTCGATTCCTCTGCCCCTCTCAGAGAGCCCAGCAAGCTACCAAGGGTATCTCGCCTGCATGGCAGAGCCTGGCAAGCTACCCGTGATGTATTCGATATGCCAAACACAGTAACAACAAAGTCTCCAGTGAAGATGTTACTGGGCCTGCTCGAGCAAATCGATGAACAACGGGAGGACAGAGACAGTGACAGTGATTTTTCACTGACCACTGTAGCACTGCACTGCCCTGTCCTCCCGTTTTTCATGGATTTGCTCAAACAGGCACCAGTAACGTCTCCATTGTGAGACTTATTGTTACTGTTTTTGGCATATCGAATAAGTGGCTTTGCTGTGAGGGCGAGATACTCTTGGTAGCTTGCCAGGCTCTCCGAGAGGAGCAGAGAAATTGAACCCAGGTTGACCGTGTGCAAGGCAAACGCTCTACCCACTGTGCTATTGCTCTAGCACTTTGCCTAGCACTGACCACTAAGTAAAGTAAGTAAAGTAAAGGCCCTCCCGTTGATCGTCGATTTGCTTGAGCGGGCCCAGTAACGTCTCCATTGGAGACTTTGTTGTTACTGTGTCTGGCATATCGAATACTCTCGGTAGCTTGCCGGGCTCTCCGAGAGGGGCGGAGGAATCGAACTCGGGTTGGCCATGTTGGCCGCGTGCAAGGCAGACGCCCTACCCGCTGTGCTATCGCTCCAGCCCACTAGATAACAAAAAGTTTGATTCAGCTTGTGAAAGGACTCTACTTTCACTCATCTATGCTGTCTATCTTGCAAAGTGAGGAAGCCAGTTCACCAGGAAAATGGCTGCTTACAGCAATGAGGATATAAAGCAGTTATGATACTGTACCAAACATGTCATTATCTTTCTCCTGAGAGACTTATTTGAAGTATAACCTACAACTACTGAAAGACAGAGGTTAAAAAATTTTGGTGAGTGTACACAAAATATTATTTATGTCACTTCTGTTTTGCAAAACAAAAGTACTGACTCCTATTGAGATGACTTAATTGTCTTTTGGTAGAAAAGATGGTGGGGAAAAAAAACCATTTAGCCTTCCAAGCTGAGTGAGAGATTTTATCTCAATCAGATACATCTGATTAAGATAAACCACATGCAACAAGGCAGAGTCTCTGCTGTATGACTTTTCCAATCTCCCCACTCTCTGCTAAAGTAACTCAACTATTTTTCCTACTCTCTCCCCTATTCTTTCTTCTTGTCATTTCTAGAAGTTAGGAATTTAATAAGTTCACTAGTCAACTACATTAATATGTGTTGCAAAAATATCAGGATAGGTTATAAAGAAGGCATGAGATGCAAGGATGAAAAATAATTAAAAACATAAATAATTTTATCATTGAAAATCACAGTTAATAGCTATTCACTGATAAGAATAAAGATGATAAAAGTATTTGCAAGCAACAAAATTAATGTGAGCTCCTGATGTGTGAAAAATTAGAATGTAAGACAGAATTAAGATTTATAATTCCTACTTCTCCATATAAAAGAAAAACTATAGTGAAAGACAAAATATTTTGTTCATCCTCATAATTATTAAATTTATTTAATAAAAATGTGATACATGAATAAAAGTCATAAGGATGTAGAAATGTAGCTGTTACAGCAACATTTTTTACTCTAAGTACTTTAAATTAATCAAATTTAATTTTACAGATTAGGCAAAGTTGTCTTCTATTTATTGTTTTCCTACTTTCATTGATAACATGCAAAATTGACATGTGAAGTAGTTTAGTGTAATAGAAAGAGCATCTGTAGCACTGTAGCACTGTCCTCTCGTTGTTCATCGATTTGCTCAAGCGGGCACCAGTAATGTCTCACAACTTGTGAGACTTGCTGTTACTGTTTTTGGCATATCGAATAGGCCATGGGGAGCTTGCCAGGCTTTGCCGTGAGGGCAAGATACACTCAGTAGCTTGCCGGGCTCTCGGAGAGGGGCGGAGGAATCGAACCCAAGTCAGCAGCGTGCAAGGCAAACACCCTACCTGCTGTGCTATCGCTCCAGCCCAGAAAGAACATCAATTAAAAAAAAAAAATAGTCCTAGGTCCTGAGAAGTACTACTAGTACGGTGCTTGCCTTGCCTTGCACACAGTGACACAGGTCAATCCCCAGCACCACATATTTTCCCTCAAGCACTACCAGAATGATCTCTGTGCATTGAGTCAGGAGCTGCTCTCAGCACCGCTAGGTTATGCCCTCCACCTCCAAAACAAACAAAACTTCCTAAGGACCTGCCTTTTGGTCTCAACAAATCAATGGCATGGAAAGAAAATTGGAGATCCAAGGTACTGATCTAGATTGACTAGTGTGGGAATTTTTTTTTAATCTTGATTTTAATTCATTTTGGTGATAATCAGAGAAACTAAATAAAAAATTGGTTTAGGTGAATACCAAATACAATTACTAATTTTCTTGGGTATGGTAACAGTATTGTAACTAGTAAGAAAATATCTGTTTTCACATATCTATGCTTACTAAAATATGAAAGGCTTAAAATGGAATTTGCTTCAGAATAAACTACAGCAAAAACTATGGAACAAATATAGCATGAATAAACTAGCAACATTGCTTAAACCATTTAAATAATGGGATTTGTGACTTTATCAAATTTGTGACTTTTATTATTAGACATTAAAATATACCTATAATGAAAAACAAATAAAAAACATATATGTAAGTTACTTTTCAAATGATAATATTAGTATTGCTTATTCAGTTTACCTTATTTTGAGAAACAAACAAGACGATGTATGTTTTTCAAGTTTACAGGATTACAGAAATGCTAGCCAACTCCTTTTATTTAACTTCCTAAACTCAGATTGATGAATAAAATGCAATTTTGCACTCATCTTAAAGTTAATTAAACAAGTTCCAGTATCTTCTTCTTAACTAAGTAACTTTCTTTTAAAAATTCTTTTTAAAGTCTTCCAAAAACTTGAGTCATAAAACCTAAACATAGTCTATCACATTTACTTTTAAAAATCCTTAGTACTATAAACAAAGATGGAAATATAAAAATTTCCCTTCGGGCTCCTTCCTTCTGTTTATGCACAGCAGTTCTGTGCGTAAATAATAGAAAATGTACTCAAGAACCACCAAAGAAAGAAGTTGACTTTAATTCACTTAAAAACAAATAAATAGAACTTTTTTGTCCAAGTATTAAAATACACTTACTTATTTAAAAATATTGGTCAAACTAATATTTTTTAAAGCCAGGAATTCTTCAAAAGACTAAACTAAAAATGGGAAAACAGCTTTAGACATAACTACTATATAGCAGCAAACCTAAAGAAAGTAATTACCAAGAGAATAACACAGTCAGAAAATCAAAGACTTTTATCCACTTTTAGAACCAGCAATAAAAAAGGCATTAATTCTTTTGCATGGGAAAATGTGACTTCTTACTCTTATTCCTGCTGAAAACTTTAGCAAACCTGATCTGACAGTTTCAATGCAAAATCATTTAGTGCAAATGGAGAAAGCAAGCAAGCAGCCAAACATGGAAGGTCAAGAGAATGAAGGTTATCCTTGAACCAGATCCTTATAAATTCAGTCTGTCTACACAACTAAGGACATGCTTTAACTTGCCAACAAGCAAATGAGAAAGTGACAGATACACACGATTGACCAGATCAACCTTCATATATGTTAAGGATTAACTTGAGGACAATTAATTTCTCAGCACTGCCTGAAAAGTGTGAAGAGGTGAACCAGAATGCTTGTACAACCCTGGGAATAAGATCATCCTTCTAAAAACTCTTTTGTGACTTAGTAAGCCTATTGTGTA